TGTAAGCATTTTTCATCTGAATAAATCCCTCCTCCTTTCTTCTTCATTCCTTAGCGTTATAAGAGTTATGTGGAAGATGTAACAGTATTTACACTCACAAGCTTTGGCTATGTCACCTTCATGCAGTAAAGAACAGGAACAACTTGCAAAAGTCCATGACCTGCAAATCAGTGTAATTGATTTCACCTGTCTGAGCATGAAAGGGTTAAAATATTTAGCCACTTTTCACGAAGACAATTTATTTGTTTGCTTTTTCAAACAGATTGTACAATCCAGTCCAAACAGCTTTAGTCTTTTTAATTGGGACCAGCAGGATGTTGGGCAAGTTCTGCGTGCTTGCAGAGGACCTCTCCTTCAAACATACTTTGTAATTCAAACATAACTTCAGCCAAAGCAAAAGTTGAACATCACCCAGGGCTAACCAGGAAGCCCCAGATCAGGCGAAGACTCTTTTTCCCAGATCCTTTGGGGTTTCCCTGCCGGGGGAGACTGAACAGGCAAGGTCTTCTGGAGCCCCGCAGCACAACCTGCTGGCATTTCTCAGCCAAGGCAGGACTGCTCTAAATACATCATCCAGCGCAGCAGCAGCACAGACAGACAAGATCCAAGGACACGAAACTGCAAGGACGTTGAGGCAAAATGCAGCAGAGTAAAGACCACCTGTCCTCATAATAACCAGCGAGACCAAAAAGTCAAAGCAATCCCTAACCCTGAACTACTCAGGCCTCCTAGCAGCTCCGGGCTTTGTGTTCTTTAGCCGGGTTTCTTCTAGAAAAGCACAATCTTACAAACCGATACTTTGTGCAAGACGAAAGCATTTGCTTTTGAACCCATGGGCCAACTTCAGCCAAGCACAACAAAGGAAATTAAGTTTCATGAGACTTAGAGGCCACGGAAGGGAGAAAATTGGAGTTGCCCCGTTCTAGGAGGTGTTGCAATATGAACTTGCTGCCACAGTTTAACCCCAACTGACAACTAAGTATCAAAGCAGCCCTGGCACAACAACTAAATTAGCAGTGTTACCAACAATTTTCTCATACTAAATCCAAAACACAGCAGTGGAGGAGATAGTAAGAAGAAAGTTAACTCTTCCCCAGCTGAAACAAGGACACTTCCTTTACTGCATGCCAGAGAACCCACAGTGGAAAAAGTCCTTAGGAATGTTTTAGTATAGCAATGCTCAGGTTTCCTTTTGTGATGCCAAAAATGAGCAGCCACCAGACAAATCCAGAGAAACAACCTCCGCGATACCTCCGTTTCCAGACTTTCCTGGGCATTTTCCAATTACATGCATTAGCTGTTTTAAAGGTCATGCTTAAGAGTTCTGCATATGTTCTTTAATTCTCTGGACACCACATGTCATACTGCAAACTCGTATTTGCAGTTGAAAAGTTCTTCATTCCAACTATTCCTTTAATATTCCATTATTTCCTTTCTTCTCTTCTGTCTAGAGCAACATACTTCTAATACAGGTAATTAAATAAGAGGGAGGTGACATTCAGAATTAATCTAATCTAAAATTTAATTCCAGGATGTTCCTGTTTTATTGAGAAACAGGCCACGCAACAGGTTGAAACCCAATACGCATCAGATATGCTATGCTTCACAGCAGCAGAATGTTGTTCTTGGCAGTTCCTTTGCAGACATCTTCTAGAGAACTTGGTAGGACCCTACCTATTGTTATACTATGAATTCTGCAAGCAAGATTCCAAAGGTGTTGGATTTTCTCCCTTAACATACTTGCTATTAACTATTGTAATACTGCACCATGAAATGCAGCAGATGTGCCACCATTTAAGGCCTCAAAAGTATAACAAGTGAAGCCATTCCAGGAGGTTGGGTTTAGCCCAGACAGAAATAATGACTTGGGGGGCAACAACAAAGTGTATGTTTGCTGCTGGTGACCTCCAGCTAAATGAGCCAGCAGAGAAGAAATCATGATTGCTTTAGACTTGCATATCAAGTCACCACTATAGAAGAGACCTTTAGAAAACTGCACATGCAATCCACCTTCCACAGTCTCACTGCTCTCCTTCTTCAGTGCTTACAAGTAGCTAGAGAAAAAAACAGAGCTACCAAAGCAGTAAGATCTTTACAACTGGATTTCAATGTAAAAGCCAGAAAACACACCTTGACTTTCAGAAGCCAGGCTCCAGCCCAAGTTTGGGGATTTTTAATGTCTAAACTGAGCTAGTAAGAGACAAAACCATTGGGATGCAAAGAAAAACCTACTTCATATTTCTCCAGCTGACACTGCACTTTGAGCACCATTGAGAGGGGACAAGGGGTAATGGATTTAAACTAGCAGATGGTAGATCCAGACTAAAAATAAGGAAGAAGTTTTTTATGATGAGGGTGGTGAAACATTTGAGCAGGCTGCCCAGGGAGGTGGTAGACACCACATCACTAAAAACATTCAAGAATCAGGTTGGATGGGGCTCTGAGCAACCTGATTTAGTTGAAGATGTCCCTGCTCATTACAGGGTGCTTGGATCAGATCTTAAAGTTACCTTCAAACTCAAATCATTCTATGATTCTATAGCAAACAAAGATCTCCACCTTGTGTGCAGAAATACTCTGAGCTAAGACTCTTTCTGGTGCTCAGCCTAACACTAAAAAGCTCAGTTTCTGCTGAGAAAGTAATTCACACCTGAAAGTGCAGTAACTCAAATAAGAACAAAAGACAGGCTGTGCCAGTATCTGATGAGGAGACCTGGATGTAAACATACCAGAGCTGTGGGAACTGCATCAAGATTCTGAGGAGTACTCACCTTCCTGTAAGAACCTGCTAAGAAGCCACAAAGATTTTTATAGAGGTGGTTTCATTTAGCCATGATGTAGCTGTAATATTCTCACTGTGTCCATGAGAAACTCCCCAAGACTCTTGTAAATAGAGTTGTAACCCAATTCCAACTCTTGTAATTATATCATACCCACTTAAATTATCCCCGAAGGGTTTTATTTGTTTTTAATAAACCAACCTTCAAAAGTGTCTGTTTTCAGAACAGAAAAACTCAAGAGTTTTTTTTAAAGTAATGTCACTTCCCTCTCCCTTCCCTTCCTACTCTCTCCAAGAAATCAGTATCTCTTCAAAGAGGAGAATAAAAATCAGTACAACTTCACAGACTTCCACTCCACAGAATCTGGTGTCCAACTTTGGGTCTATGAACAGATCCACAGAGACCACAAAAAACCAAGCAATAGTGAGTGCAAAGTTCATTCAGAAAATTCCCCATATCTAGGATAAGCAATTACAAGTCTGAAGATCATGATTTCTGTTGTGGAAATGGCTCAGGCAACTTGGAAAAAAAAACCTGCAGAGCACTAGCAGAACAACTGCAACACTGACCCCTTATTCAGGAAGGCACTTCCTAAAGGTAGGAGTTCACTTACATAGACAAGGATGAATTAAAACAACAATAAATTAAAATCTACTATTTTCTGGATTTACCCTATCAAAAAGCATGCATTTATCCAAGATATCTAAAATAGGAGGAAAAGAAGTGAGCTGAATCTGAGGTAATGCTCACCTCCTTACTTGGGAGATGGCTGGGAGCCGAGGAGACAGCTCTTATCTTAGTTATCTCGAGCAGAGCTCAAAGACCACATGCTTAGGTCTGTGGTGAGTGACTCACCTGCAATTAAGGCGAAACCTGAGATCTCTATGTAAAGATAAATCTCTGGACTTTGTGGTTGTAGAGCAGCATCTGCCAGACATCTGCTAACAGCTCAAAACAGTTGTGCTGAGAGGTGAACAGTCCCAAGCCTCTCAACAGGGTGCAACTCCCCAGCTGTGCTGGGGGATGTTCCCAGCACCTTGTTGCACAGATGCTACACATGGGTGGCTCCTGAAAGATGGAAGAAATCAGGGGTGGGATCCCTTCTGCTGAGGGCAAACCAATTAATAGTAATCTTAAAATACAATACAGTTGAGACCCTCAAACATTTTTTCCCCCTCCAGGAAACATAGTGTGAATTTTGTGGCTTATACTTCAAGCTTTTCAAGGAGAGAGACTCCCTATCCTTTTACCCTGAGAGATGTTCCAGCCTACTGCCATATAGATGTGGTCCACGTGGAAATACTGCAAAATGCAGCCTGATGCTGACAACCAAGTCATCTCACTTCCAAAGCAATCTCTTTGCTCAACATACTCTACTTGCTGAAGTTTTGCCCTCAATATTTGAGTTGGGTAAGACTCAGGAAACTCTCTCCAGCCTATTTTGTTCAAACAATGCCTTGGCTCTGTCGCTGCTTATGTTATCTGCATTTCTTTTCATAGCACTTCCAGCTGATGATGAAGTCGTCTACAAAGTAACCTCTTCCAGGGTAAAGATTCCCTCCAAATTCTAAACAGCCAAAGAATCTGGATAAATAATCCAACCAGAACTCGGCAGCTCAGATTCTGAGGTTTACTTATTATCACTCTCGCTCAAGATTACATGCAAGCAGGATTAAAGAAGAGCCAACTAACTCAAAGCAAGAGAGAAGCTATCAATATGGTTAAAAAAAACAAGAACAGACCTTGAACCATCATTTTGCTACTGGTATGTACGTGTCATTCAAATAAGAGACATTAATCACTGAAGAGTACTTGCCTAAAGATCAAGAGTTGTCTACTCATTCTTTCAAAGGCAGATCATGGGAGGAAAGTTGCAACTGCATGTGCAACAAAGTTTCCAAAATACTAACAACTCTGTGCTGATCCTAAATGCAAAATAAAAACCAAAACAGAGCCTGATGCTCTAAGCGTGAAAGATAATAAGCAATAAGTGGGTCTGCATACCTGGGAGACTGGCAGCATACTGGTCTTAAATTATAGAAGCAGCATTCTGGAAGATGATCCGTATCTTCTCAGACATGTCCATGCTTTCAGTGAGGTCTTCAAAGCTCCCATAATTGGAACACTGAAGTGGAGGTAATTTACTTAAGCCCCCAAAGCCCATTTGGTTGCTTCTGAACCAGCAGGGACAGGAATGAAAACAGAAACACAACAAGATATGCCCTTCCAGGGTCCCATTTATTAACTGAATACAAAAATAAGATCATTTAAGTGCAGAGGCACAGTATTCCACTCTGTGGTGAAAAGATATCTTAGGTTAGCAGTAAATAGGGTTTACAATACCTTGTAAACAGACCTCTTTATAAGCAAGAAGCATACTGAAATATGACACACACTGGATTAAAAGTTCCCTGTTGCAACAATACTCCAGACTTCTCATCTGGCTGTTTGGGAGCACTTCCCAAAAGGTGGCAGCATCCTTTGCTCTGTTTTCCAAGGAGCACATGTAAAATGAATGGAACACAAGGAACTTGCAGTGTAACTTCAACCTGCACAGTTGAAGAAGTGCTACAGCATTTTCTGAGGGCGGTAGCTTACACCTTGTTAGGTTTGTTTTGCAATGAAAAATAATGGCCAAAGCTATTGTGCATTATGAAAGTGTTAAAAATTATTCCTCTTTTTATGTTTTTTACAGCAACCTGTTGCACAGTTGAATAAAAAATTATTTTTCTTCTTCTTAATATAGTACATGGCATTTCTCCTCAATTGCACTAGAAGTAAATTTGGAAGCACTTCCAGTTTGTTATAGGCAAATAGGAAGGGAAAACAAGTCAGGCAGACTTTGAAACCCCTTTCCACCTCTCTGTCCACTGTATTATCCCCACCCCTTCACATCTCTGAGTCCACATACATTCCATTGATCAGGTAATCCACTTGTGTGTAATCTTTCTTCTTGTAGCTCTCATAGGCCTGCATGAGGAAAAGAACTATAACAGTTATGAAAAAAAACGTACCAACTAAAAGCACTGCAAGGAGCGAACTTTTATCCACTAAATATTGAGTCAGAGGCTCGGCAGCAATGAGAAGATACTCATTGTCTTTGTCCTGAGTTTCTGTGAGGTTCAAAGCTGTTGTTTTGGGTGCATCTGTTGCAGCCACGGTTGTTGTAAAGATGGCAGATGTTGACTTTATCCCGTGCCCAGTCGTAGTTTCTTCTGCAGAGGCTGTAGTTAAAACCATGGCACTTCTTGTAGAGCCCAGAAGAGAAGTTGATTCACTCGAGGATCTTGTGGCTGTACTTGCTTCTGGTTTTAGATCTGGCAGCGTGCTGACATGCGGTGGATTCTCAGAGTGAGAATTCTCCAAGGGGATGAGTGTGGTGGCATGAGTGGAAGCAGTGGAAGATGTTCTTGCATCCTGGGGGATGAGGGTGGTCAATCCTGTGGTCAGTGTCTTCAGGTGAGCTCCAGCAGTGGTGGAGCTGTTAGAGTGGGGAGCACTGGTGGTGGTGGTAGCTGGGTTAGACTGCTCTGTTTGAGTACCTGCCTTAGAAGTAACACTGAAGGGAACAGAAGTGGGGGACAATACTGAGACAGAGCTATTATTTTCTGATGTTTGGCTGGTGGGCACAATCTGGGCGACATGGCTGGAAGTGGAAGCAGAGATGCTACCAGAAGTGGGAGAAAAGGCAGTGGATGGCATGGCTTTAGCAGTGGTATTAGAACCTCCAGAGATGTTTGAGGCTTTGGCAGTTGTTTCGTAAGTGGTAATGAAGACACTTGCATTTGTAATGTTTGTTGCTATGGCTGGGGCAGTGGGGGTGGTAGCATTGCTTGCAATTGATTTCCTTGTATTTGTTGTGACATCTCCATTATCAACCCCGAGCAAATGCCTCAAATGAATTTTGCGAGTCTGAACAGTTGAAGAAAACACGTTTTCCACACTGTGTCGGGCAACCTGTGCATTCAACATCCTCTCCTTTTTCTGTGGATAGCTTTGGTGGGGAAACAGGACTGTTTCCCATTTCACGCTGACAATTTCTTCAAAAAGAAAAAACCAATGAGTTTTGTAAGAATAAAACTCTCAAGCTCAAATCTAACCTCAACCCCCCAACATGCACACCAGAACACATACTCTGCAGTAGACGTAGTACAACTGGAATAAATCAGTCCTGAAGTCAGCAAGAACATGAAAAATCAACCCTCCCACCCTGTCTTTATTGCACATAATCCCTTTGAGGATTTTTGGCTTGGTTCAGTTTTTTTTACCATAGACCTCTAGTATTTACCCAACCAGGGAATTAATTTCACAGAAGGGGAGTAATCAAGTAGAGAGCTGCAACGCAGAAGCACATTATCAACAGGAGCAGTGTTACAAACGTCAGCTCCTGAGAAGAAGACTCACGCTTTCAAAGTTACACATCACTGACAAAGCCTTTGTGCTTAGATTTGTAATTTTCACCTCTCAAAACTGGGCAGAAATTTCCACTTACAGCTCCCTACATCAGGGTAATTTCCTTCACAACTAATGAGCTAGATTTATAGTGACATAAACCCCATCTGCTTATCACAGGTCTAGTTGGTATGTTGCAGAGAAACCTTTGCCAACCCAAAAGAACCATGAACAAACTCCTTTTAAAACGTGGGTATGGTGACTTCTTGAAACATACTTTAAAAGGTTGGTTCCCCAATTACAAATAAGCTCCATTTTGTTATTGTGCCACTTAATTAAAATTCAATACCCTGGCACTGGAAAGTCACCATGAGCAATTGCTGCTCTGATTATAGAAGCAGCCTGTTGACTCTGGAACAAAATCCTGGCAATCTCAGAGAAAAACAATGCCAAGACATTTTCCTTTCTCTGAAAAAAATATAAATACATCTGTTATGACTTTATTTTCACAAGGACAGCGTGTGGCATGCAAATGGCTTGAATGAATGATGTCTTCAACATGGAGACAAACTGTTACTCGGTAACAGTTACAGAAGTTATTCAAAGACACAGCCTGCACGTGCAGTCCTTATAAGGTTGTGGTTATTCCAATCAACTTTACCTAAAGAGTTATCCTACAGGCATTTCACAACCCACCTCCCTCAGCTGAAAGCCTACCAAGATCTAAACACAGGCATTTAAAGCAAAAGAACCAGGATCTTGGATTCACCAGGAACCTGAAACATGGCTTTACCTCCAAGTAGATCTCTGATGTCTTGTTCTCCAGCATTTTGGCACACACTCAGTTGGTGACACTGCAAGAAGATGCAGTGGTTCTGGTAGGGTACAGACCAATTACAGGGATGATTTCCTGAAAGCAGCAGAGAAAATGCATTGCTACACAAAACATACCAAACATGCTGCTTCATAGCTTTAATTAAAGAATTGGAAAAAACAAACAAACAAACAAACCCAACCAAAAAAAATGCAAACCCACACAATATCTAGAAGGTCTGGCCTTAAAAGGATCCTGACTCAGCCTTGGCAAAAATAACTGGAAAGCCAATGAAATCAATATAGCAGCTGCAGCCTACCTACCTGCTTGCCTTCTGGTACCAACATCTCCTAACAACAGCAATTCACTCACCCAGGCAGGGACAAAGAAAGTGCACTACAGTTTGTTCCCATGTAAATGCTAGCCTAGCATTCCTCTGCATGTCTTAATGAGGGAAGAAAATAAATGAGCCAAAACTGAGTAGACATCCATCTCATCACTCATAGGAGACAGCTCTTGTTTCAGTGCTTGGAGTTACACAGAAATTTACTCTTCACTCTTTGAATAATGATACCATGGAAGCCATCACAGAAATTGTCTTTTACTAAGTCAAATCTCAACACAACTAAAATAAACTCATCACAGCAAGAACTCACTTTCCTGGCACCCCTTTGAACTCACTAATTTTTTTCTACACAGCTACATATACATAATCAAGCTCTGAGGGAAGGAATGAACCTCCTCCAACAAATACTGAGGAGGCATTTTAAACACTGTGCCCAGTCTGGGGCTCTCTAGCTTACAAGAGTGGTATTGAAATACTGGAGTGAGTCCAAGAGAGACTATTAGATGTCTGGGGGGCTGAGGCAGCAAATCCCAACTCAACATCAAGGGAAGAAGTTAGTTTCTACCACAAGGGCACTCCAACACTGAGCTGGGGGCCAGAGAGGTCTCTCCATCAGGTCTTGAACAGATAGATCCAAGTTGGGGTTGGACCAGGGAACTTCAAAAGGTCCCTTCTTGCTGTGGTAGCTGCACTTCTTCTCTAAGTAACTGATGTTATGTCAGCAAATTACATCTATGGAAGAGTGCCTAACCATGCTGGGAATGTTATTCTTCAAGCTTGTAGCTTCTTCAAGTAATGTCCCTTACATGTGTGTAACTATTCTGTCAACTAAGCCTCGTGTCTCATGTCTGTAATGACAGAAAGCACAAAAAAATATTGTTGGGAAAGATGGGAATGGAGAATGAGATCAGTAAAGCTGATCTTAAAACCTAAAGCTAATATAAAAAAAAAGACATTTCAGGTCCTTCTTTCCACGTGATCTCTCTGCACATACATTTATGTCAAGAGTTTCTACCTTTTCCACCTCCCTTGACACCAGGTAGTGTGACAGACCGGCCATCAAGTAACAAATAGGAATTAAATTGCTTCAGTAGGTTTAACACAGAATGTAAAACCCAGAAAAGTTTATGCTTTTGGGTTCAGTCTTGCAGTGGTTTCCTGAGATGGAATGGGTCACCTAATTCTAGAGGCTCATCCCCTCTGCTCAACAAAGCTAACACTCAACGGGACTTATTTTGCACTCACAGATTAGAAAACAACAAAGTGGTTAAAGTCAGCAACAGGGCCAACCATGCAGCCAAGTCATGTTGCAGCCCTGACTGCAGACTAACTAAATTCTTCATGTTTCTCTTCTGGAAAAGGCAGCTGATGAACTTTTCTACTCTATCAAGATATTGGAAGGTTAAGATGACACGTGCACAGAATTTAGAGATTCTCAGGTGGAACACAGCAACATGAAGTGCTACAGACTCTAAGTGTCAGCACAGTCAGTGTGAACGTGTCATCTGTCTAGGGTTTACCATCTTAAAAAACAGAACCTGGAGTTCCAACAGCTCTGGTGCCTTGGGAAACAAACTGATCCTCATTTTATCTCCTAAATAAAACAATTTATAAAGGTACTTTCTTTCCATTATGAAGGAATGTCTCATGTTTGAACTACAGGTTTGAAATCTATGGGCATTAAAAGCAGCATCTTTATTATGCTCCTAACAATCTGAATGTCAGATATTCATCCACCTGAGCCAAGGCCTCATCTTCACCACAACATCACCAGCTAGGATTGGGACCTTCATAAGGACCACTCAAACTCATTTAGAAGTTCAGTGCTTTTATAAAGACACCCCAGAGGTAGTGGGCAGAAGGCTTTCACCTCACCAGATTTGTTTAACCCTGTGCTTGGTTGCAGGATACAAGTAGTTTCTTCTAAGGCAGAAAAAACATAGCAGGGAACAAAGACTACTCGTTCCAGTGCAGCTGTCCTACAAGAGCCCTGTTTACTTGCAAACATCTGGCAGCATGGAATAATCACTCTTCAATTCAAGTGACCTAACACTGTTTGCACGCTATCAGTGCACACCAAGAGCACATGCAGGCTGTTTCTTATAGAAGCTAGAAGGGCCCTGGGAAACAGTTGTTCTGGATTCAATTTAACCAAAGCTGTCAGAAGTTACTTAGCACTACAGCACTGCACAGAGAAGCATAACTATAAAAGCCTGCAAACAACTGGAATTAAGAAAGAAAGTTGTCAGGGGAGCAGTGGAGATCTTCAAGGAACAGAAAACGCAGCTGGAATTCCATTTAAGGGACAAGAACCTCACCTGAAGCACCTGGGCTTTGACAAGCCTCCCTGCATTGTTTTTCAGTTGTAAGCCTGTTTATTTGCACTACATGGACTCCTCTCCCTTTCAGGACAGAAAACCTGTGTTCACATACAGAGAAGGAAATCAGCAGGAAGAACACAATGGCAGTCCACATCTTCGGGGCTGGCCTTACAGGGAGGCTTCTCTTCCCAGAAGCAATTCTTCCTTATATCAACTTCAGATCCACTGCAATATACCTATTAAAAAAAAAAAAAAAAAGAAGACTTTTTATATTCCTATCAGCAGGAATAGAAAAAAAAATGTACAAAAGGTAAGCAAGTATCATTACACACCACAAACAAACAAGCAAGGACACAGAGGCAGGAGAGTAAAGACCATTCCCAAATTCACAGAGAGGTTCCTTCTTTGGAAAAGGTACTGTGCTCTTCTTCTCTCAGGTCCCAGTGAAGAACAGCTTTAGTCAAAAGCCAAGGGTACAAAGTCAGTCTCAAAGTACACAAGCATATGATAGCACAGATATGATTTTTAAGGGCAACCCTCTTCCTCATCACTGCTGCAAGCTTTAGTCCTCATCCTGCTGTTATGAAATGTCACAGCCTTCAAAGGGTGTTGAGATTCAACTTTGTGTGACATCTCAGAGATGTATGTGATGACTGCAAAGGCAGCTCACAACACAGAATGAGCAGCATGTATGAATGGTATAAATATCACAGTGAAGAACATCTCACAGTCATCAGTAATGTGCGTAAGACCCTGATTTAGCCATCCATGCAAGAAGTTTCGGCCTGAGCTCTCAACTCCAGTCCCAACTACACTTGTGAATTTAAGAGTCTGACTAAGAGCCTTTTTTCCCTCCAAGAAAGGCCAAAATAACGTTTATTAGCTTTGACTCACTGATTGCAACATTTTGATGCCTCCTACCATGGAACTTTTGTTTCCAATTTTTCCTCTAACCCCAAAAAGTGCAACAGTTTTAGCTTCAAAATAACCCTGTGTGAAAAGAGGTGAAATATAAACAGATACCCCAAGCTTTGCAGAGGACACACAGTATATACAGGTCCATACTGGATAGTCAAAGAGTCAAAGATGGGGACAAACCTTGATACTAAAATGCCTCAAATTCAGCTTCCGTAGTCACCCTACAAATTCCATGAGGAACTCAGAGTTTCCTTCCTGCCCACTTATTCCAGTAAAAGAGTTATTTTACCTCTTGAAAATAGATGGACCATTTCTTTATCTTCTGCTTTCCCAGAGAGCAGGGGAGCCCAAACTGACTGGTCTGTATGGTAGCTTGCACTGCTGACCTTAGCTCATGCCCCCCATCCAGCTTTCTCCCTGGAGCGAGTGTGCACAGCATTGCGCTCGCTTTGTGTGAGCAGGTTTCCCAGTGCAGTCAAAAGTTCATGCCTGCGTCATCCCACCTGGCAGCTGGAAATATTTCTAAGTCTGACCTAACAAGAGAAGTCTTGGCAAGAAAAGGCAGCTCAGCAGCCCCATCTAGTCCTGTGTACCAGAGACTACTCCTGGTGTCCACCAGCACCAGCTTCACCAGGGTCTCTCTCCATGTCACACTACGCATGCACAGCACAGACTGACTTTGCTCATTCCTTATCACTTGCTCTTCCAAGTGCACCTTAGCAGGAGTTGAAAGAATCAGCACAGAAGAGGAGATGACCTGTGCAATACACAAACACAGCCTTTGCAACACTCTACACTGGCATCGGCTGCTGAGAAAAGCAGGCCCATGTTTTTTGTCAGGGAATCGGTAATTTATTGGTAATTAATTTGTGCTATTCAGCCAAGCTAACTTCAGCCCTTTTCCCACTGTTTCAAACTACAAGACCCTTCTACAAGTTTGCCTTAGCCTTTAGCATGCCTTGCTGTCACTCTTAGCATATACTGTAAATTAACAATTGAAAACTGCAGTTGACAAGGAATTTGTACAAATAAGAAAATTCAGAGTATTATTTCAAAGAAAATGACTGGGGTGATGTTTCAGAGCAGAGAGAAGCCTTTGGAAGATAAATCCCTTGCCTCCATGCCCTCCCAGCCAGACTCAGTTGTTCCTGGTTAAGCAGCTGCAAGGCGCATGCAGGGACTGCACCAGGGTGAAGAGGGAGATGTAGAACTAGATCAAAAAAAACCATGGCAAGAGAGAGTGTGGGTGTTAGAGATCACAGGTACAAAGTGTGCAACGCAAATCATTTAGGGCAACACATGCTCCTTTGAGCTGTCATCGAAGAGCCAGCAGACACTGCCTCAAAATTCATTCTTACAAGTGTGCATGGACTAGGTATGAAATAAGGTCAAAGAGGGGCAAAGAAATGTTCTAGCTTCAGTATATCAACAGAGCAGGGAAAACAAAGGTGGGATACCTTTGGCAGACAACAATGCATCCAACTGAGAAGACATCAGGCCTGTTTCCCACTTGCATTTGCTACTAAACACCTGAATGTTCTCAGACCTCTAAACAAGTGCTGTATTTCTCTCTTTAGAAAAACAGAATTCAGCTAGATTTTGCTAAGGGAAAGACAACCACGTTTCATTTTGTAAATCAAGGCAAGAATACAGGAGACAGGGAGTCTGCACTGTAATCCTGAGAAGCATTTTGCTTCCCAAGCTTCTTTCCAAGACTGAAGGTGCACACAAATATAAGTCTGGAGACAGAAGGGGCAGCACCAAAGGTACCTGAGGCTGACCCAATGTCAGCTGAGCACAACCAGATGAAGTTATATGATTCTCTGCACAGCAGCTTTAGAGCCATTGAGTTCCTTTGGCTCCCTAAGAAAGTTATTGACAGGCTGCAAAGCTGTTTCTACAACATGTCACATACTATCAACAATGATGAACAAACCGACTGTGAATCAGACAAGCATTACAGATTACAGAGGAGGAAATACATTGCTAGGTCCATGGTCTGGACACAGTTCCTTTGACGTCCTAAGATGTCTGTGCAGTGTGAAGCATTCCCACTTCCTCAGAAAACCAGGATACAACAATCAAAGGCCCATTTTTGCCCCAATACTGGCTCTCCATGCCCCCATCATTTCCAGTATTAACAAAATGCTCCTGTACAAAGATGACTGAGGTGGAAAGTACACAGTTCTATACTTTCAGAGGGAGTTTTGAAGGAAAATAGTGCCTAGAAATCGTGAGTCTTATCTCATAGAATGCTGACCAACCACTTTGATCTGATATACACCTGGGGCTGATGTGAGGGCAGCAGAGCATTAGAGGATGATCTGCTGCAACGGTAGGACACAAGTTACACATGCTCTGAAATGCAATTCAGAGAAAAAACATTGCCAGCTCAGATACAGAAGTACATCACTTATATTCCCTCTGCTACACAGGTCCTAGCACAGTTGGCCATGTATTACAGAAGAGCTGGCACATCCATTCACATTAGCAGCGCACTCCTCACTGCAGCAGACAGAACAGGGTATAGGATGGACATAGGTTTGGTCTGCTGCTGCCTTTTCTGATGTTTCTCCCAATACATGTCCACAAAAAAGAGATTTAAAAAATCCTACAAAGCCAAAAAGCCTACACAGACTGCATCACACTAGAATCTGTTAAGGACAACAGCCCAATAAGCAAAATCATTTTAATTATGAAGTAATAAAGTTGTACATCTTCTCCTTCCTCAAATACAAACCACCTCCTCCAATTTGTAGTGTAGTCTCCATCTATGGTTGAAGCTCCCATCAATCTGCATGACACACACCCCACAGGAAATGTGACTGCAATGACTACAGTAACATCTACAAGCTTCAGGGAATGAGCCTGCTTCTCACCCCATCCCACCAGCAAGCAGGCTGGGGGTGCACACGAAGTCAGATGGGACACAGCCAGGACAGGTGACCCTAGCTGGGATATTCCAGACCATACAGCATCGTGCTCAGCATATAAAGCTGGGGGAAGAAGGAAGGGAGGGATGTTTGGAGGGATCATGTCTGTCTTCCCAAGACACTGTTATCTGTGATGAAATCCTGCTTTCCTGGGGATGGCTGAACACCTGCCTGCCCATGAGAAGCAGTGAATGAATTCCTTGGTTTGCTTTGCTTGCACGCACAGCTTTTGCTTTTCCTACTAAGCTCTATCTCAACCCAAGAGTCTTCTCACTTTTACTCTTCCATTTTTCTCCCTCACTCTACCACGTGGGATTGAGCGAATGGCACTGTGGGGCTGAGCTGCCAGCTGGACTTAAACCACAACAGGCAAATTTAGCTGCACTGGGGTTTGTGGGTGCTTTTTTTGGGTCAATTTGGTCTCAAATATTACCAGCTTTACCCCTTTCCATCTTTCTGTGCCTCAGTTCCCCACCTGTATTCCTCCCTCAGGTGACAAGGCATACAGATTATATAGCTGAGGACAGTCCATGCTGTCACCATTGAGGCTTCATGGCCACAACACTTTGCCCCTGAGGAAATAAATGTTAAAGCCTAAAACCCCAAGCCAGCATCACCCATCCATCATCCTTTCTCCCCCCATATTAGTGCCATGTGCTGCAGCTCCAATGCTGAGACATACAACTCAGCAGGACACTTTTCCTGTGAAAAATGATCAGACAGCTATTTGATTTATGAAACTGTGCCTTGTTTTGAAATATCTGAACCAATCTAGTTTTAATATACAGAAAAGTGAACTGCCAAAGGCTAACTGCATAAAGCTGTGAGTGAACAATAAATCTGTCAACAAAAATACCTCCAAGCAATAAAAACATGTACTATGGCTCAAGTGCAACCTTCCCTAGTCTGATCTGAACCTGAAACAGATAGCAAATTTTCAGACATGCTGTTGTCTTATGGGAACAGGAGATCAAATGCAGGGCATTCCATACCATGTGTTTCAAATTAAACTGCTTTCAACAAGACCCTCAAAGGAACCATCCAGTGGTTCCCACACGAACTCTGCAACCACTGAGCCGATACAGAGCAAAGCTGAGCAAGAAGGGTAAAAGGCAAACTCATGACTTTAGTTTTTCTAAGTGCCTGCAGAATCAGGCACTCTGCAGCAAGGGTGGTTCATGCTTGCTGACAGATGGCATTAGAAGCTAGAACCAGCACAGCGCACATGCACAGGAATAAACTCAGCCTGAGGTGCTATTAAATTCAAAACTGACAAGTCTGGAGCTAACAGAGACTTAAACAAGCAGTCACTTCAGCCTGAAGGTACAAGTGTTACTTTTGGAGCAAGTAAAACTGCCAATGTGTTGAAGTTTGGTCACCCACCCACCTCCTGCCCTGCAGAATTTTACCATAGTCAGCAAATTCCTGGCAATACAGATCGAGTTAAATTTCACTGAAATGCTATCCTTCAGATATTTCTGAGAAATCATTATGCTCCTCTACAGATACATGTAGCCATAACACTAATTTTAGGTCTGTAGAAACAGAGTCCATCTTCATCCAGAACACTGGGTTCTGCAACTTTCCTCAGGAATTTAATCCTGTGCACGTTTTTCAGCAGGGTTACGCACAGCAGAGATGGCACCTTATGTTACAAAAGCATCAGGCAGTACTGTGTGGAGCTCAGAAACTGAAGAGAAAGTTCAGACAGCCTGGAAACAGCCAAAACATGGTCCATTCAGTGCAATGACTGAAAGGAAACTTCTGCTCAGCGCTAAAAGAATTTGAAGAAAGGAAAGAATTTTTGCTATTTCTCCTTTCTGCAAGGAAGTAGGATCTTTATGCATATCCTGAAATACAAAGAATAAAAATAAATTTAAAAAAACTAAAAAAAAAAATCAAAAGATATGTGCCTCCCTTATCCTCACAAGCAAAACATACTGAGGGCTACTAGATTATGAAGGTTTCTTCTTTTTAAGCGGACAACTCAGGTTAAAAAACAAAGGTTGCTTCATACCAAAGATCTCCCAGGCAAGATGCAGCAAAAAGAGACTCCAGCTTATCTTATCACAATACAATATGATACTGGGGAGCTTTTCATCATACATAAATCACAAATACATAGCACAAATCAAGAGGTTCTTCATAAAGTCTTTAAGCCAGGAACACATTTATAGTGATACCAAATAAAGTTTGTTGGCACATGCCTCCTTGCTTTGTGATTTTGACAGCTTGAAAAGCATGGAAATCACAGGGCAGGGTGGGAAAGCTTAGCCAAGTCTATTTTTTCCAAACAAAGAAAGAATCAATGCAGTAGCAGCTTTCCTAAACCTTGCTGACCTTCCCTAAGGCAGGTTCTTCATAGCCAATAAATCTTCACCAACCTAAATGTAAACCTATGGGTTATCAGAACCTAGAGGAAAAACATCTTCCCTCTCCTTACTCCATGGCAGGATCTGCAGAAGTGCTTTAGCCCAGATCTTGGGTGTCTTGTCTCCTACATGGAAGCAGCTACTTCGTCATAGCTTCCCTCTTTTCAGTTTCAGGGGAACTCACTTAAGCTTTGAGTCTTGATGCTCAAAAACTGATTAATAAGTCAAAGTAAAATAAGCTTGATTTGAGCTCCTCAAAGCTTTTCCAGTACAAATGTCTCTGTATCAAAGAGCTCCTCACTGATGGAAGAGGGACAGCACAGGCAACAGCAGGTTCTTCTGAACCTTTCTGAGCTTGATATAGGAAGTCTATCTGTCTTCTGCTGATGTCACTGAGGACTCCAAAACTATTCCATGCGGTTACCTGAATGTCAAGGCCATCTACAGGCAGTCAGAAGGGCATCTCACCAAGAGAGATTACAACTACCACAAGAATTATATTTCACCAATATAACCAAACAGTCAAGTACTTTTAGTACTTAGTGGAAGTACCTTTGCAAGTTTCCTTTGCAAGTGTGGAGAAATCAAAGGCTTCCTCTGCCCTAGAAAACAGTGCTTCTGCCTCCACCAGCTTCCCAGCAAAATCCAGCTTCTGTCTCAGCACTCAGCTTCTCGGGCATCTGAGCCACTTTACAGTAAAGCACTTTCACTTCAATTGCCTGAAGTTGTATCACAAGGTAAATCTGCCCAAGCAGATAACAGAGCAGAAAAACTGTACTGTAGTGAGAATTAGGCATCCTCAGCATGCATTAGGGGGTTTTGGGGTTCGTTTTGTTTGCTGCTTTTTTTCTCCATGACAGCCATTTCAGAGGAATTACATGTTAGCAAATCCTTTAGCACTTAACACGCCAATACAGAAAACTCTCTACCTATACAGATGCATATTAACATCTACAACATCAAACAATCTCTAGCAGTTTAAACTGCATGCCCACCATTTCAGTCTTTGCTTTCTAAAGCATTTCCCTCCAGCAATAACCTTCCTGGAGATGAGAGAAAAATACTGAAATAAATTTGTACACATATTTACAATTTCTCTCCTTCATCCAGACATCTTTTATGCAGATGAATCACTATATGA